ATAGTACTCCAAATCCATACGAATCACCCAGATGTGTCTGGTTTTCTTCATCTTTCCGATATTAACCATTTCGCCAAGCGACAGAACAATCAGGATGACGATAGCTTGCGTGCAGAAGTTAAATGCAAATCATGTAGCACAGCAAAAAATAAGCTCCTTTGTCAACAGTTTGTGTCAAAACTGCAGCAACACAACATTTGTTTCCACAATGAGATCAGCAGTTTCACATTTACTGAAAGACTTTTGCATCATTGATTTCAGAGGGAATCTGAACCATGCTAAGTATTGGTGCGTACAACAAATATCAGGCTTAGAGATAGCACAATAACATATCTGTCTGTTCAACATTTAAAATAGAAATATGAAATTTATCAAATCAAAAGCTTCATTTTTTTATTATTATGTTCATGTCAGATGTCAGACACAAAGTAAAACATTACCATTATCCGTTTTTTAAAAATGCCTGGTCAACCGATACTCAATTGATATTTGCGATCTGCAACTGTAAAACAGCCTCAGAGAAAATCCTTAAACCACAGTCTGTTCAACGTTTAAATTATAAATACACAATGTAAAAAATCCTTAGCTTCATATGTTGTTAGCTTTTGTATGTCAGGATACAAAGTAAAAATAAATATTATCGGTTTCTAAACATATCTGGTCCCGATATTTGCCACTTGCAACTGGAAAACAGCCTTCAAAATCACGATTAAACCCCTGTATGCTCAACATTTAAATTATAAATATGAAATTTCTAAAATCAGAAGATTCACTTGTTAGCATTTGCATGCCAGGACTCAAAGTAAAAATTACCATTATCGCTTTCCAAAAATACCTAATCAACCGATATTCTACCGATATTTGCCACTTGCAACTGAATGATAAAAACAAAAGCCTTATTTGTTATTAGCTTTTGCATATCAGATGTCAAACACAAAGTAAACATTTTCATTATTGGTTTTCAAAAATTCCTGGTCAACGATATTTGCCATCTGCAATTGGGAAACAGCCTCTGACATTTTTTTTAATTACTGTCTGTTCAACATTTATAATATAATTATGAATTGTATAAAATCATAAGCTTTATTTGTTATAAGCATTGGCATGTCAGAATACAAAATAAAAATTACCATTATCAGTTAAAAAAAAAAAAACTGGTTAACCGATATTTTCCACCTGCAATTGGAAACCATTAAACCACTGTTTGTTCAACATTTAAATTTTTAATATGACATTAATAAAAGCATAAGCTTCATTTGTTATTATCCTTTGCATGTTAGGACTAAAAATTACTATTATCAGGTAAAAATTACTATTATCGCTTTCCAAAAATACCTAATCAACCGATTTTCAACCAATATTTGCCACCTGCAACTGGAAAGCAGCCTGCGAAAAAATCCTTAAACCTCTATATATTTAAATTATAAATATGAAATTTATAAAATCAGATGCTTCATTTCTTATTAGCATTTGTTATTAGCATTTGCATAGCAGAAGTCAAACACAAAGTAAAAAAATTCATTATCGGTTTCCAAAAAAAAACCTGGTCAACCGATATTTTCTACCTGCAACTGAAAACAGCCTCCGACAAAATCTTTAAACCACTGTTTGTTAAACATTTAAATTTTAAATATGACATTAACAAAAGCATAAGCTTTTTTGTTATTATCATTATTATTATTTTCATGTCAGGACACAAAGTAAAAATTACCATTATCGGTCTCTAAACATAACTGGTCAGCTGATATTTGCAACCTGCAACTAAAAAATAGCATTCAACAAAATCCTTAAACCACTGTCTGTTCAACATTTAAATGATACATATGAAATGTATAAAATCAAAAACTAGATTTGTTATTAGCACTTTTTACAGAAAGTAAAAATTACCATTATCGGCTTCCAAAAATACATGGACAACCAATAGTCAACCGATATTTTCCATCTGCAGCTGGGAAACAGCCTCTAACAAAATTCTTAACCCCTGTCTGTTCAACATTTAAATTATAAATACAAAAAGTAAAAAATCATTCGCTTCATTTATTGTTACCATTTGCATATCATGAAACAAAGTAGACATTGCTATTATTAGTTTCAAAAAATACCTGGTAAGCCGATTTTTGCCACCTATAACTGGAAAACAGCCCCAGACTAAATCATTAAACCACTGTCTGTTCAACATTTCAATTACAAATATAAAATGTATGAAATCATTAGCTTGGTTTGTTATTAAAATTTGCATGTCAGAATACAAAGTGAAAAATATATCATTATCGGTTACCAAAAATACCTGTTTAATCAATATTTAACCGATATTTGCCACCTGCAACTAGAAAACAGCCTTAGAAAAAAACATTAAACTATTGTGTTCAACATTATAATTAGGAATTTTTTTTTAAAAAGAGGCTTAATTTGTATTTAGCGTTTGCACGTAAGGATACAAAGTAAAAATTACTCTCATCTGTTTACAAAAATACCTGGTCAACCAATATACAACCGATATTGGCCAACTGCAACTGGTAAACAGCCTCCAACAAAATTATTAAACCACTGTCTGTTCAACATTTAAATTATAAAAAGGAATGTATGAAATCAGAAGCTTAATTTCTTTTTATCATTTGCATGTCAGAATTCAGATTTTAGAGGGAATTGGAACCGTGCAAAGATATGAGTAAGTACAACAAATATCGGTACTACAGATAACACAATAAAATAACTGTCTGTTCACTGTTTAAATTACAAATATGAAATGTAACATGTTGTTAGCATTTGCATGTCAGCATACAAAGTAAAATTACCATTATCAGTTACCAAACATACCTTCTCAACCGATATTTTCCACTTACAACTGGAAAACAGCCTCCGACACAATCCTAAACCGCTGACTGTTTAACATTTAAATTATAAGTCTGATTTTTTTTTTACATTATTAGCTTCATTTGTTATTAGCATTTGTACACAAATTGAAAATTACCATTATCAGTTTCCAAAAATACTGGGTCAACCGATGATCTACTGATAGTCAACCGATATTTACCATCATTTGCATGTCATGATACAAAGTAAAAATTACCATTGTCTGTTTCCAAAAATAACTGGGCAACCGATATTTGCTACCTCCAAGTGGGACTCCGACAAAATCCTAAACCACTGTTTGTTCAACATTTAAATTATAAGTCTGATTTTTCTACATTATTAGCTTAATTTGTTATTAGCATTTGTACAAAAAAAAAATGATCATTATCAGATTTCAAAATACCTAGTCAACTGATGATCAACCGATAGTCAACAGATAGTCAACCGATATTTGTCATCATTTGCATGTCATGATACAAAGTAAAAATTATCATTATCGGTTTCCAAAAATACCTGGTCAACCTATGATCAACCTATAGTCAACCGATATTTGCCATCATTTGCATGTCATGATACAAAATAAAAATAATCATTATCGGTTTCCAAAAATAACTGGCCAACCGATATTTGCTACCTGCAACTGGAAAACAGCCTTTGAAAACACAATTAAAACACTGCCTGTTCAACATTTAAATTAAGAAATAAAAAAATGTAAATATATATAATGCAGAATTAACAGCAATAATAAATTTGTTCATGATGAATCACAAATTAATCTGAAGTTATCATTTGCATTTGGATTTCAGACAATTACTATTTACCGATAATCGGCATCTGCTACTGATAAATGGCCACCAACCACAAAAGTAAACCACTGTGTGTTCAACATTAAAATGATTTAACAATGAAAAACAAACAAAACAAAAAACTCACAATTATTAAAACTTATGTTTATATAATAACAAATATGGCAATATTAATATAGCAAGAACCACAGCATGGCAAGCGCAACAACAGCAATGATTAAGAATTATTCATGATTCATGAGACGATAATTAACATTTACGTACTATTATTTGACACGAAACGAACCATTATCGGTTTCTGAATATCGGGTCTACCAATACATACAATCTGCTAACAATAACTAGCCATCAACAACCCTATACAAACTATACATTTGCAATGAAAGTACAGTTAATAAATGCAAATATATTAGCAATAGGTACATGGATAGAAATATAACAACAAAAAGAACATCACAACAATAATTCAATTTATCAATAATTAAATCCAACTCATACTATGTGCATCATGGATATCGGCAAAATAACCATATGCAACATAACAACATTACAGGATATAATACGGAAATATTAACAGATCAATATCAAGAACCACAACAGCAGCGGCAGCAACTATAAAATATTCACGATAAGCTCATAGTCTAATATTTTAGTTATGATTATATGCATATTGAACATCAGATAGTTAAAAATAAGAAATACCCATTATCGGTTTCTGAATATGGACGATGATACATTGATAAATGCCATCTGGTGGATCTCCAAAGTAAAACAACCAACAATGACTCCACCACTATGCAAAACAATTCATATCATTGAATATTGTTAATGTACTATTATAATTACGCAAATATATATTTTAATTACATATATATTTTAATAATATGCATATTTTATTTTGTATAATTGTTTATAATATAACTTTAATATCATATAATATAATTATATATATATATATATATATATAATTGTTTTGCATATTGGTGATTACATCAACATTGATGTCGCTCATTTAAAACACACACACACTCAACAATAACAACGTAGGTGTCAGTATCTGTGAAGGCATCCACTGACTTGTTACACACACAGACCGAAGCGAGGAAAACCATATTGATGTTTTCCCCCTCAAAGTGTTGATATGCAGAACTCGTGTGTTGTGGAGCACACTTGTCTCTATGATTTGATCACATACACTCACACACACACACACACACACACACGCGCGCGCACATGATTCATTGGCAGGTAGACCCCCGGAGCCGCATTAGTATTCACTCCAGGTCCCAGCAAAAGAATGAAGCAAGCAGCGAGTGAGAAACAGAAGAAAATGCAACTTACCTTTCCAGAGCAACGCCAGCAGCAAAGCGAGCGCGTGTCGCAACATTGCGCAGCTCATGTTTTGAGTTGATTGTTTGTTATTTCTCCGTCAGTTCTTGCAGCAACAGTCCGTGTTTGTGGTCTTCAGTCACGCATAAAAACCGCAGTTGTCCGTCCGCGTGTCCTAATTCACCAAACCTCCGCAGTCCACAAATCTTCCAAGTGTGTCAGGAGTGCCACAAGATTGGGTCGATTTTTCCCAAGAGTGACCCTTTGCAAGGAGACCAAACACAATGTTGAGAGCAGGACGGTGGATAAATTAATCCTTGCGCAAAACGAAGTAAAAAATGTAGTATGTTCCTTCTTTGGATTTATGTATTATTATTTTTTTAAATATATATTCAACACAAGGGCATCCAGAATACCAGAGAAGATGGTTTAGTGGGATGTTGTGTGTTCAGTGAATCAGAATCACTGTGCATCGCTTCAGAGCGGAGCACGAAAGAAGCTGCTGATTGACAGCTCAAGGAGAATCACTTCCACCAATCAGAGAAGTAGGCGGGGTTGAGAGGAGGACGCGCGGCCAATCGATACCACGCAGGGGCGGGGACTACTAGAGCGCTATGATAATATAAGGTGATTTATAGCACGCTCTGTGCACTGCAGTACTGGAGGAAAAGGTGTTTGCGTGGACGCGCACATTAGTGCTTTATGTTCTCTACAGGGAGAGGTGATTTGCGTGGGGAAACTTCGCAGAGAAGTGTGTAGAAAAAACACACTTGATATATTGGGTCAGTGCATGCTGCGCAGTGTTCACTACATGTTTGTGCCTCCATCTGACTTCATAAATAAAATATTAAACTCGCTTTTTTTTTTTTTTTTTTTTTGATGTTTTGAGTTGAGATATAGGCTACCAGTTACACACAAATATCCTGTCAAATTATTCCCCTTTCAATACATTTCTAAACATTCATTTCATGTTCCTTATTATTTAATAATAATAATAATAATAATAATAATTATTATTATTATTATTATTATTATTATTATTATCATCATCATCATCATCATCATCATCATCATCATCATTATTATTATTATTATTATTATTATTATTATTATTATTATTATTAGCATTTTCTTGTCGGCTTTGTCCCTTTATTAATTTGGGGTCGCCACAGCAGAATAAACCGCCAACTTATTATTATTATTATTATTATTATTACTATTATTATTATTATTATCATTATTTATGTGTTATTTATCTTATTATAGTTTATTGCTGGAATAAATTACAATAATACTTTGGGTTTAATTGGTTTAATTATTTATTTTTTTCTTATTGAGCAATATTATCAGCTCCTTTAACAAATAATTTATTTATTTTTCACCTAAATAATTTATTAATTGTTATTTTTTCTATTATTTATTTGTGTAATAAATAATCATTATAGTTTGGGTGGAATAAAAGCAGTTTTTATTATGTTGGAAATAATTTTTATCGTCGATATTATTAGCCGCTTTATTACTCATTCACTCATTCATTTTCCTTTTTCACCTTAGTCCCTTTATTCAACAGGAGTCTCCACAGCGGTATGGACTTATCCAGCATATGTTTTACACGGCGCATGCCCTTCCAGCTGCAACCCATTACTGGGAAACACCCATACACATTTATTTCCAGTAATACATTACGATAAACTTTTAAAATACCCAATTCTTCTATAGCGCATGTGTTTAGACTGTGGGGGAAACCGGAGCACCCGGAGGAAACCCTCGCCAACACTGGGAGAACATGCAAACTCTACACAGAAATGCCAACTGACCCAGCTGAGGCTCGAACCAGCAACCTTCTTGCTGTGAGGCGACAGTGCTATTGTCGGATGGTCATGATAACCAAAACATTACATTTGAAAATTCACGGATAACAACAATAGCCAAAATAGTATTTAAAATCATTTTGACATGAGCCGCTTTTGGTGCTTCACACATTTTCATTGGTTATTTTTTGTTTCCAAGATCCAAGATTTAGAATAAAAATATTATTTTATTTCTATTCCATTTTATTTTACTGTAATTTATATTTTAATTAAATTCAATTTCATTGCAATTTCTTTAATTTAATTTATATTTTATTTTGGTTGCAATTCTATTTTATTCTATATTATTATTTAATTTTGAATATTTAATTTTATTTTATATTAAATTCTAATCTATTCTACTTTTTATTTTTTATATCTTATGTCTTAATTCTGTTCTTCTTTTATTTTTCTTCCGTTTTTTAAATGTAATTTAAGTTTTATTCGAATTGAATTTCATTTAAATTAATATTTAATTTAATTTAGATTTATTTTTTTCTTTGAATTTAAATTTTCTTTTATTCTGTATTAATATATTTTATTTTAGTTTTTTTACTATATTTTATTGTATATTCTATTGTACTTTATTTTATTTTATTTTTTATTGTAAGTTCTATTTTATTGTTAATCAGTTAAATTTCATATCAATTTCTATTTTATTTCATTTATATTTTAATACATTGTTTGTTTCAATTTAATTTTACTCTATATTATTTTATTTTATTGACAGCATGGTGGCACAGTGGGTAGCACAATCGCCTTACAGCAAGAAGGTAGCTGGTTTGAGCCCCGGCTAGTTCATTTGGTATTTCTGTGTGGAGTTTGCATGTTCTCTCCGTGTTGTTGTGGGTTTCCTCCAGGTGCTCCGGTTTCCCCCCACAAGTTCAAAGACATGCGCTTTAGGTGAATTGGGTAAGCTAAAATTATCCGTAGTGAATGAGTGTGAATGAGTGTGTATGGGTGTTTCCCAGTGTTGGGTTGCAGCTTGGAAGGGCACTTGCTGTGTGAAACATATGCTGGATACGTTGGTGGTTCATTCTGCTGTGGTGACCCCAGATTAATAATGGGACTGAGCTGAAAATTAAATTAAATTAAATTAAATTAAATTAAATTAAATTAAATTAAATTAAATTAAATTAAATTAAATTAAATTTATTTTATTTTATTTTATTTTATTTTATTTTTATTTTTATTTTGTTCTATTTTATTTTATTTTACCATCTTCTTTGATTAAATTTTGCTCCTAAAACCTTTTGGTTTTAAAGGTCAACCAAACACTTAAAATACCTGTTAAAGGATTAAATCCTGCAACATTAAGTGGATCTGAATGTTTTTATTGCTTTGCTATATATCAGCAGGTATGTCGGATAATTGTCAGTCTCTCATTTAGTAACCATTATTTTTTTATTCATGCATGCATATTCATTTTCAAAAGTTACAGTTCAGTGATCCACCTGATTACAAGTATTGAATTAATGTTATATTCTGTTATATTAGATGGCAATGACTTTGGTTGTGTTTCTGACAAAGAATTGTGCCGATAATTTTATACTGTTGGGAATATTCACAATACTGTCACAGGGTCAGTTATTATATTTAAAAATAAAAAAGTTAAATACAGTTGAAGGCAAATGTATTAGCCCTACTGTAAATTATTACTATTAATTATTATTACATATTTTAAATTCTAATATCTAAAAGTTTATTTATTACTGCATAATATTGTACTGGATATTTTTCAAGATAATAGTACTCAGCTTAAATTGACATTTAAAGGCTTAACTACACTGTAAAAAATACTGTTTAATTAACAGGTTCCGCATTCACAAGTGTTTTCTATTTATTTACGGTTGTGAATTGCATTATGAGATGTTGATCTCTGCTCTGTCCACTTTTGATGTTAAAACACTATAGTTTAACAATGTGACTTTTGTTGACATTTTAGTAGTTTGAAATAATAATATAATGTATAAGAAATAATATATAGGATAAATTAAGATTATGGACTGAAAGTTTATTACAAGGTTTTGTAGCATAATATACAACAACAACACAGACAATAAATCACTTTAACCTATTGAAAATGTTCATAAAAGTTACTTTTTCAAATCTTTTGAGATTAAAAGTTGACAGAAGATCTCATAATGCTATTCAAAAGCATAATTCATGAAAAATAAAAACATGAATCACAAAATATGGTTAATTTATAGATATTTTTTACAGTGATTAATTAGGTTAAATAGGCAAGTTAGCATAATTAGGCAAGTCATTGTATAACAGTGGTTTGTTCTGAAGACAATCAAAAAGTATAAATTCTTAAGGGAGTTAATAATATTGACCTTAAAATGGATTTTAATATTCCAGTTTGGTCGGAACGATTTTAATTTTATTATTTGTGAAAAAAAAAAATTATTCCAGCTGAACTAAAAGAAATAAGTCAGAATTATTCGCCCTCCTTTGAAAGTCTTATTTGTTTTATTTTGGCAAGAATCAAACAGTTTTTAATTTTTAAAATCCCATTATAATGTCAATATTATTAGCCCCTTTAAAAAGTAATTTTAATTGATTATCTACAGAACAAACCACTATTATACAGTGACTTGCCTAATTACTCTAACTAACCTAATTAAGCCTTTAATTTAAAAAGCACTTTAAGCTGAATACTAAAATATCTATAGTCAAATATTATTTACTGTCATCATGGCAAAGATAAAATAAATCAGATATTTGAAATGAGTTATTAAAACTATTATGTTTAGAAATGTGTTGAAAAATCTTTCTGTTAAACAAAACTTGGGATGCTAATAATTCTGTCTTCAACTGTTTCTTCATTTTTAATAGTTACATTAGAATTTAAGAGCATTACAGGAGTGATTCAGCCTGCAGATGCTGAACTCGTGTTTTTACATTCTGTATTATACTGTAAGATGGAAATGATGGTGAATTTGCTTGTGGTTTTGGTGGTAATTTGCTAGCCAATATTCACGCCGTACTCTCACAAGGTCAATGGCTCTGGAGAATTGAGCTCTAACAGGGTGTTGACTGTCATCCGTAGATTGATGGCTGAAGTCGCAACAGCATTTGAATATCAATTTGTGAACTCTGTATGATACTGAGCTGGACTGAACCTTTAAAGAGAGAGTTCATGCAGAAATGCTATTATTTATTCACATTTTCAAAATAATAATAATATTAATAATAATAATAATAATAATAATAATAATAATAATTGTGACTAAAAAATGCAATGCTTTTAGTCAAACCCAAAATATAATAATATTTACACTAGCAAAATATTTACACTAGATAAATTATAATAGCAAAAATAAATAAATGTATTTATTAATTAATTAATAATAAAATATAAGTGAAAATAAATAAATAAATTTTATAAAGGCTGACAATATTGACCATAAAAAACTAAATTAAAAAAACTGCTTCCATAAACCTATAAATAATAATTTATTACACCAATTAAATATAATAAGAAAAATTATGTAATAAATAAATAAATAAACAAATAAATAAAATATGAATAATTTATTCCACAAACAAACTATAATCTTAAAAA